TTTCGGCATCTTAAATTTAATGTTTTTGACGGAATCCCATAAACTTGAATGATTATCACAACAATGATACAATAACTCAATTAGAATGAATGCAAGAGAAATAATACAGCGATAACATAACTTGAATGATTGTCACAACCACAATAAAGCACACAATTAAATGATTACTATAGAACTCCACAAACGACAATATAACATGCACAAATGTTATATAATAGAAAATTTGAATGATTGCCGTAACTTTGCCAAAACTAGTACAAACTGAATGATTGTTCCATCCACAAAATTACACATACTTTAAATGGTTTCCAGAAAATACGCAATCGGAAACTGCTCAACGGAATACTGCGCAAACAGAACAATGCGCAAATACATACTAATTATTCTAATACTCATTAATTTTAGCATTTTCCGCAAAAAAAAAATGTTTTATTATGTTACAATGTACATGTAGTCACTCATTTTTACTGCCTTCAATGCTGGATTTAAGGAAATAAAATTGCCATAGCGAGCTTTTTTGTGCGCTGTTTTCCGTTGCGCAGTTTTCCGTTGCGCATCTTTCCCGTCACCACTCTGAATAATTGCCGCATAAGCTGGAAAACGATAATAAAACTTAAATCTTACATACACATTAATCTAATTAGTAAACTCTGCCAAACTTTATTAAAACGTGATTCATATTTTCGCTTGACCACAGATACTGGACCATTCTCTTGGAGAATCTGGAACAACTAGTTGCCGGAATCAAGACTGTAGTTGTCCACCCATAAAACATGACCTAAACCAGCACCATTGTGATTCGATTGTTGAGATTTTAAAAATTGTGGTAATAAACTACAAAACCGCTAACAATATTCTGTTGTTTAATCTATTGTTTCGTCTCACGATTTCGCATCCTAATTCAGCCTGCGGTATGATTTTGGTGCTAACTGGATCCAGTTTGTGAAGTATTACTAGAGTAATGTTCATGGGCATTTTTGTGATCTTTTATCAGCCGCGATGTGCTGTTGTTCTATTTGTGATAACATAGACTTTTGTTCACTTAAAATACATACAAGGAGGCAAAAAAGCACGAAGGTGTCGGAGATCGAATTTTATTCAATATTAGCGTCCCCGTCCACTCGCGTTGCCGTGGGGATAGAAAGAAGTCTGACGAAATATATAAGAAGGGTTTCACCAATGCATTACCATTAATTTTCTTAGACGTATGACCTTGTTTTCTAAAGCCGAGTTATTTATATGTAAACAATGTCTGCTCTTGGATCTTATTTATCGGGGCACGGGTTTAACCACATTACCGCATGATAGCCTTGAGTGTATGTTAATCACTCACCCCAATAGTGAGGTAGAACACGCTTCGTTGACCGCCCAGGTGTCAGGACGTAGAGCGGCGCTCTCGGGAGCCCTCGATTACATCACCGCAGGGGCACCGCGTATGGCCCCTTACTCATTAAAACTAACGTAGGCGTCGACGGACACGCCTGATTCAATTTAGTGAACGACTATAATGTCCCATCTTATCCATAGTCTATCGTACTGTTTAAAACGAGCGTGGCGCCATAGCGCTCATGGGATAACCCGGGGTGTTAAATTGCACTCTGTCGGGTCGCCGCCCGTGCAAAATTGAAAAATTGTTTTCATTTTTGCAGAACCCCCCCCCCCCCCCCCCCACCCAAGAGTATTCTCTACAATTTCCCAAAGTTTCACGGCGATCGGATGAAGGGTGTAGTAATGCATAAAAAACAGACAAACAAAGAAACCATCAGACACACATTGCTTTTTATATAATAGATAGGTAGAATAAAATGATTACAGCAATGTTCGTCTAATCACCTTTAAAAAGAGTTTCTTCAAGAATCTCGTGAGTGGTGGGGTTGGGGTGGGGGTAGGGGTGTTTACTGTCAACCCCTCCACCACGTACACAATTTTAAAAAGACATAACTAATATTAAAAATATACTTGCCACCCCCTCCCTTCCCCGGAGAAAAATGTCTTGAAGAAACATTGCATCTAAAAATAAGTAAAAAAATCGAATTAAAACAAAGTGATAGTTAATTTTCAAAGCAAGTTAAATTGACCAAAACATTTTATGAATATTTGTGTATTTGTATGTTTTACTGTTGCATTTATTTTAGGTTTCAATACGCGCAACAAGATAAAACAGTGTTTTACAATAATTTATTTTACTTACTTTCTCGTGTTTTTGTCTTATATGTCAACCTAACCGATTTTTTTCAAACTTGGCACTAGTGTCAAGACCCGATGACAATATAATGTGACAGTAAATTTGACTTTCTTTTCGTTTAAAGAAAGATCAGTAGTTCAAAACATTTTTCAACAAAATACCACAAATGTTACATTTAGACTGAGTTTTTATACCAATCTGTATAAAATAAATCGAGATTACAAAGCACACTTTAATATGCACACGTTAATTTTATTCCAAACCATCAAATTTGTGTTTCTCTGCCACGATAAAGTCAAGGATGAATTCCTAATTAAAACATTTTTTTCTATAAAAAAAAGGAAACATTTGCACACTTATGGTTTCAGATAAAATAAGAATTACTCATCTCTCTAATCTGTGACATCTGAGAAGTTTCTTAATTGAATGTGCCAGTTAATGACTTCAAAGAACAATATCTTTGCTAGATGGTTTCTTCCTGCATTCAATTAAATTAAACTTATTTGAAATTAATTAAAAATTTACAACCAAATTGCATAAATGTTACAAAAATATATATTAAAAATTTAGAAAAATTTAATACATGGGACTTACGATTATCCGGGTTCAAGTCAAGTAGAACGTTGAACAGCTCTGATGTGTACCTGACTCATGTTATTGAAATTACAGGCCCCAGTTCTTAGTGCTGACCACACTATCCGTTCATATGTCGAGCTCACTGGTGTACTATATATTATATAGAAATTTATCTGTGTATTATAAACATCTGGTTTGAAAAAATAATCATTCCACCTGATTTAAATAAGGCGCGTGAGAAATGTGACGACTTGGTGCCAATCAGGGAGCCGGCTTGAAAGTTTTCGTATATAATAAATTTAAAAAAAATAAATAAATGCGATAATACGCTAAAAAATCCATCAATATTTTTCCAAACATTTTGTTTTTGCGGTCATCACATTACTCACCCTTACTGTTTCGTTAACTGTACATAATATTGGTTTAAAAGAAAACTTTACATTTTTTTCGTCATGTTTTCACCACCAAATTTTGACATCCTGTACTAACCGTAGTCCCATTCCCCGTCTTGCGACGCCACTGACTTTAATTTCTTGCATTTTACCGGAAATGGAAAACGTGTGGTCAGAATCTTTCGCACCGCCCCCTTTTCCTTTGTTACACATCGTATTATATTCAGACTCCATCCTCCCCTGGATTTAAAGGCCGACCATCTTACCGACGTGATTATCAATTTCAGAGTTCATTTGTAAAAAAAAAAATGAATTCTAAGTAATGCAAATATAAAAAGGGGTAGTGGGTGTTCGTGAAATACCTCCATATTTAAAATATATTTCGACATCAAAATTCTTTTCAAATATTGCTTTTTAGCATTTATTTTATCAAGATATGAATTTTACCCTCTTTAAATGAAGTAAAATTTGCTTAATACTATTTCCTGTCTACGTATTACATTCTAATTGTAAATTAGAAACATTTTCAATTAATGTTATTTATACTTTTCCTTTTGATTAAGGTAAACTATAAACGGTGAGCGTGTTGTGATGTAGATGTTTATATAAGGTGTGTGGTGTAGAGCGTAGCAAGTAGGCAGTGTTTTTGGTTTTGAATGTTACCTGTGTTCCCCTGTAGAAGTCGGAAATTATATTTGACTATTACATTTGAACTGTGTTTTTTTGTGTTATACCTGGTTCCAAAATGAAATGGAAAGCTGAGTATATATACAGTGTTAATATACTGTACAAAGTCCGAGTGTTACAGTTTATGACTACGAAGTTGTCAAGGGGTCAAATTGTTCACTTATCTCACTTAAGACAACCAAACCCACCCCTCCCCTGTCTGCCTCTTATCAGCTGAACCCAGAGCAATCAGCCAACAAAAAGTATTTGATTCTTTCAATACTCTCAGCCAACAAAAAGTATTTGATTCTTTCAATACTCTCAGCCAATAGCCAGTCAAGCAAAAACAAATTGTCTCAGAAATTATGGTATGATCCACTCAAAATCTAAATTCATCTTTTGATATATAAATAAACAAACACACACACACACACACACACATATATATATATATATATATATATATATATATATATATATATATATATATATATATATATATGCTATATATACACATTTTATCAGACAGTTTTTAGCTGATTTAGCTGATACTAAAGGATATTCCATACATTACGACTTTTATGACAAATATTACATATCCTTAGCAATCGTCAGAAAAGCCAGATCCTCATATCGTCACACAATGTCACCCCCCCCCCCCCCACCTCCCCTTTAGTAGGTTGATGTTGTTTATGGATGACTAATAAGTTAAAATCTAGACTCTCATGATAAACAGATCTGAACAATGTTCAAACTAAACTGAAACTGTCGAATGTAATATCATTACCCTGACTCAAATCGTGACTACTGGATTTTTTGTAACAACCTTGCAAAAATCATATCCGGACTATTTCTAAATTAGGTGCGAAATGTAAGGAAAAACATACCACTTGTGGCGTGAACGGTATGATATGGCCTTGACATTACTTCATTTAAAGTAGTGGAATTTTTTTGCCTTGCTCAGCACAAGTAATAGGCGTCAAAAGTTGTTTAAGTTGGTGACTGTTTGAGATTACATTTTTTTCTTCTCGACTTTAAGCGTTGGGTGCAGGTTGATTTTGATCGGGTAAAAATACTTTCATATATATATATATATATATATATATATATATATATATATATATATATATATATATATATATATATATATATGAATTATATTTTACTCTTCAAAACAGCACTAATAGAATGTCTCGTTTGACGGTTGCTTTGTATCTGACGTCACTACTTGTATGCGTGATGTCACAAACTCCCACTGTGCCCACGGCACACGTCGCCCATTTTGACATGGTCTTCAAGGATGCTGACAGCAACAGCGATGGGAAACTGGATCGTAACGAGTTTATTGAAAGCTTTAAGGTACTGTACGAATGGTTTTTTTTTATTGTTTACTAAGTTTTCAAGCCGAATTTATGGGGGGGGGGGGGGGGGGAATTGGTATTATTTTCAGTAAGATTACTTGTTAGGTGAAGTTAAGAAATGGTATTTTGTCATCGTGTACTGCAAAGTTAAGTTCTATAGTCATTATTATTGATATTGTATGCAAAACCTTTGCTAACAGTTTTCTCTGTTTTAAATAAATATTTCGTGAGCAATTAATTTCAAATAGGATTTTTCTTTCTCTTGTTTAAATAACGTGAACAGATTTACGACGCAAATGGTGACGGTATTGTGACAAAGCAGGAATACATGGACTTTAATCAACTGACAATGCCCCATCACATGCATGTTGTAGACCCCATGTTTACCTGGTACGACACGGACAAAGACGGGCAGTTGAACGTCCAGGACTATCAGAGCTTTTTCCCATTGATGGACGCCAATGGGGATAATCAGGTGACGGAGCTAGAGTTTGACAGGTGAGTTAAGGTTAGATTGTAACACAGGTTAGACTGAGTTAAATAAACGTATAGCCTGTTTTAATCTATGGAGCTGAGACATGTAATAACTGTTGCAAATAAGAAAAAAATACCATGTATAAACTCATGCCTAAGAACAATTCTTCAAATCCGTTTGCTGACATCATCAGAAATGATGTAGTATTACAAAGGAGAAACACACTGTAAGCTAAAGTATAGATCATCCAGAGAAAATGGAGATGGATCGGCCACACACCCATGAAGCGTACTTCCAGCATTACAAGACAGGCCCTCATCTCAAATCCATATGGCTAAAGAAAAAGAGACCAACCACGGAAAACGTGGAAGAAGACAAAAAGAAGTTTGGATACAACACCTGGGGACAGTTGGAGAAGTAATTTCAGAATAGAGATGCCTGGAAAGCTCTAATCCTATGTAAAATGAAGGCCGACAGACTAAACTAAGGCTAGACTAACTTAAGATATAAAACGACAAAAAGAAAACGACAAAAAAAAAACAAAACGAAAATGACGAGATAGAAAACACAAAATTATGGGTAATACTTAGTAAAAACCAATAGAAATGCATATCCGGGAAAGAAAATTGCAATGGATTGCCCACCCGCTTATAAAGGAAATTGAAAACAGACATGTTAAAGTTCTTAACCCTTCACCGTCCGTAGCATCACAAAACCTTGACCCCCCCTCCACTTAGGAGTGTGACGTCGTTTATGGACAACTCCTCAAATATTGTTTAATACAACATACTGAACATTTTTAAAATTTTATTTTTAATCAGACAAATTTAATTATTTGGACCGCTCAGTTGGAGCGTTGTGTAAAGTAGCAGAAAGTTACACCTACGCATATGATCTATGGCTCTGTTTTAGGTAACACTCATAAAGATAGTGCACGCGAATGAATTTTTTTAATGCATTTATTTTTCAGCTACTGGGAGACAACTTTCAGAAACGAAGGTCTAATCTAATCATCTGGCCAGGGTCAATAACTCTTGGTACAAGGGAGAAGACACGATAAGGTTAACAATTTGAAAAATAGGTTTTGTAAAAGCTGTAGGCCTATCCAGTTGTTTGACCTAAGAAATGCACAAAGTGTTCTTGTTAAATACATATTTTTAAATACAATTTTAAATACTATACATACGTGTTGATATTTTTGTATACAAAAATGTATCAAACAATTGGAAGATGTATATCTCTGCAAATGATTAGTAATTAGAAGGCCGGAGAATACTTTCGCTGTCCACGAACCACTAGTAATTCGAGTCCACGCAGAATATCAACGAAAAATATCCTTTTAGCGAAGTTGATTAATCTTTTATGACATAAAAACTAAATTACGTTTATTTTTTAACAATTTTTAAATTTTAGCCTTAAGAAAAGCTATTTTAAACATCCCATTAACATCGTTCATGGACCCCGCTCCTGATATCTCGGGCTCCACATTATACTACGCCCACTCAAAACTTAACATCCAAACGCTTACCAAATAAAATAATCCCCACCTCCCTAAACTGAAAGCAGTGGTGTAAGCAGGGAAATGTTGAGGGGGGGGGGGGGGGTGAAGGGGAAGATAGACCGCCAAAAAGTGACGGGTGTCAAACGTTGAGAATATCAGTCACTGCAGATTTCATGCTGTTTTCACTTTGAAAATGTTGAATGCAATAAAAACCCGATTTCAACGTTAAAAAAATCGATATATATATATATATATATATATATATATATATATATATATATATATATATATATATATATATATATATATATATATATATATATATATATGTGTGTGTGTGTGTATGTATATATATATATATATATATATATATATATATATATATATATATATATATATATATATATATATATATATATATATATATATATATATATATATATAGGCATATAGTTTTAGGTCATATAAGTATTCCACTGCCCCGTGCGCTTAGGGTAAGGAAAAGTCTAATTAAGAAAAATCTAGTACGTAATCAGTTGTCTTGTGATTTAGGTCACGAATAGGGTAACAATGTTAGGTATATTAGTCTGAATGCAATAACAAGAATATATATATATATATATATATATATATATATATATATATATATATATATATATAAGATATATATATATATATATATATATATATATATATTTATATATATATATATATATATATATATATATATATATATATATATATATATATATATATATATATATGCGATTTGTTAAAACTTGAAAAAAGGGCCCTCAACTTCGCATGAAAAACCAGGGTAAGGAGAGGGGCGGCGTTCTTTGGTTGCAATCCCTTTTATGCATTAGATTGGCGTTTTGTATCCTGGATAATAAGTAGAGCTGGTTAAATTGTTTGACGAGACCTATGTTTGTGGTCGAGTGAAGTTTTTAAATACAAGAGAGGTGAGGGTTCCACTGGAGTTCTGGTCTGTGCATTACAATTATGTTAATGGGATTCCAAGGTCCCACAGTTGGTGGGTAACACATGAGTTGGCAGGTAATTGTTGAAAAAGATCACCATGGAGTCTTTTGTTTGGGGGTCATCCATAAATGACGTTACGCTTTTTTGACGATTTTATTACCCCCCCTCCCCTCCGTCACACGACGTCACAAAAAGCCAGATCCCCCCCCCCCCTAAAATGACGTCACACCTCAACCTACACCTACCCCCCCTCAAAATTGCAGTTGATTTTTTTTTAAAACATCGATATTTTTCTATAATCTTGTCTGAACTCTGTCAAAATAGAGTAATTTAAACAATTCCTATTATATTTTATTAAATTGTTTTCTAAATCGCAAAATAACGTCTAAAATTCGTTTTCTAACATTGCTTTTTTAAAATGCAAGAGTTTGACGTCGCACCATCTGAGCCCCCCCCCCCCCCCCTCATCACACACCGTCACAAAATTGAGCGTTACCTCATTTATGGACGACCCCTTGCTCAAAAAACTAAAACAAAAATAAGGAAGAGTGGAAGTTGAGATGGAGGCAAAATTGCTTGGTGAGCTTAAAAAAAATGGCAAGTGGATTAATGAAAACAAATCCTTTAATATTTATTTTATACAATTTTCAAATAGGTGTGTAAAATGTAAAGCAACTATAGATAAAATAACTTATTTTTTAAAAGACCATAAGCACCACCGGCTAAGTCCACGTTTTGAAAAAAATAAGTTGTCCTTATTGCCTTCAATTCGGAGTGGTAATTTAAGTAGAATACTAATTTAGTTCAAAGCGGTAGCCTATTCATTAAAGTAGCCACCATCATGTAAATGTTCCAACATCAGGTAAAATTATATCCCCACTATTATAGTCAAACTAAAATTTCGTGTAAATTAAGAAAGCATTCAATTGAAAAATGTATACACTCCCAAAAAACAGTCAGAGCATGGTATGTGATGCTTAATGAGCACATAAGTCACGGCCGTTTACAAGTAACTTTTACATCAAATGCCAGTGCAGACCTGGCCGGCACGGCTAGTTTATTATAATAATTATATATATATATATATATATATATATATATATATATATATATATATATATATATATATATATATATATATATATATATATATATATATATATGTTAGAAAGCAACCACTCAAACAAACCCTTCCTACGCAACTGACTGCCACCATCAATCAACTAATAGACTCAAGTCATAGATATTTATAAATGACGTAGACAATGAGACAATGAACAAATAGTTTCGTACAAAATATTATCATTTATTTTTTGCTATCTCTCCTTAATTATAAAAAAACCCATTTAAATCCAGTTCGATAATAAATCGTCATATAAATTGGACATTTTTTAAAGTAAACTTATAACATGAACTTGACCTCTTAGATCGTGTCGACAATAGCAAATATGACGGAGGTATAGCTGTGAACAAAAACAAAATAAAATGAATTACTACAACAGACAACTTGTTGAGTAGACTGTGTTTCATTATGATAACAATTTGCTACATATTTCAAGTAATGTCAATCTATTCTGAAATGTTTGAAGAAAATTAACCTTACAATTAATATTTCATGTCAGCTTTATACTGGAAAACAGTTGATGTACACTAATAGAGGTAGCTTAGAGAACGGTGATCAGTTGCTTTGAAATAACATTAATAATATATTCTAAAAAATTGGTAGCCAGAAAAATGTGAAACGGAAAGCTGCCATAAAGAAGCGTACAAAAGTATTTTTAAAACGATTATTTATAGACGTAAGGAAAGAATAACCACATGTATTTTTTTAGCATGATACGAAATACTCCCAAAAGGTGTATT